GTTTAAGATGGATTGGAAGAAGGGGGCTAAATTTGGGCGAGGCTTGTTAATCTATTTAGTTTAAACAAAATTACTTTATGTTGCACCATATTCTCCCACGAAAGCTTACCCGAAACTACATAAGTTTCATTGGGCACACTCTACAGATGACCTAATCGACCATATTTTCTCCAACAAAAGGTTCAAAAGATTCATGAAAATGTTTTAATAAGAATAACTAGATGATACAGCGAAGATATACCTGAAAAGAATATAGTAAACCATGGAAAATAGTGAGGAACAAGAGATACAAACCAATCACTGAGACCCAAGAACAGAGGAGAAGAACTGATTCAATACACATCATTGATCTCAACAGCCATCGACTTAGGACACACAGACCTTTCTGTAGATGTTTCCCCGCCAGAGATGATATATATCAGCACGGCCATGAGGCAAATCAAGTATGGTAAAGCAAAAGGACTAGACACTATTGCAGCTGAAGAAGTGAAATCAGACAGAAATTCGTAAGAAGATGCTCCGCACTCTCTCAAGGAGGTTTTGAGAAGAAAGATATGAGCTATTTGACAGGAAAGAAAGATACCTGATTAAGGTTCCCAATAAAGGAGATTATAGTAAGTATGCGAAATACAGAGACGTCACAATAATATCAGTGACAGGTAAACTTTTCAAAAAAGTGTCCTGTTGTATGGAGCGGAAGGTTGTAGAACTACGAGGGCTATCGTCTAAAAGGTACAGTTATTTACAGACAGTTGTCTGCGCAAGGTATTTGACGGCGGATATTCCATATAATTTCTAAGACTCCGTATACTGCTCGTCTTGATAACCGTTACTAGATGACGCCCAACTGTGCATAAATCAAAAGACGAGTACGAAGCACTGTTTATGTTTATTATCGCGCCACACATAGACCACGGGACCACAGGCACACAAAGCAAAATTAATATTCTAGTGCCAACGAGCATATATATACGGAGGAAATGAACGAGTCATCGAATCGTTTAAGAGACTACAATTAAAGCAAACTGAATGAACATGAACGTGGTCAGTAAACAATGTTCAGTCATACTGGCTCATACAAACGCGACAACAATAAAAGCCATTGTTTCATAGAAGTTATTGCTTTACGAATAACTGTCTGTTAAATAAGTTAAACAGGGTGTAACCAAATAAAATGTGAACGAACTCAAATCTATTTGAGGTACTACACGTTCAATAATCAATTAATATTCATCAGGCATCGCTTCACAACTAAGTGTTCTCCTCAATGTTGTTTGAGTGAAGTTTCCGCCAAGCTTATTTGAAAGCACTACTTTTAGCCATTGGGGATATTAATCGCTAGTAACTAAAGCATAATATGAAATAAGAAATAGTTTACGGTACGTTGCCACGATACATAAGATGTAGAGCATGGATTCCAAGCAGTTTGGTTGTATGACAGTTTGTGAAAATAAGCAGGACAGTTTTACACTTGATTGATATCAGCAATAATCTCAGGTCTGTCAGACGAGCGATCTAATTCAGCTGTTTCCCTGGATGGATGGAGAGAAAATCATTTAATACTGCAAATCTAGGTGTTGGGGAGTATTTACGCTGTCGTCAAAGCACAAACAGCCTTTGGGATAAAAAGGATATGCTTGTTATCGAATTGTAAAACCCAGGAATCCTACACTTGTACTGAACATTTCAATCTAATTTCAAAGTACTTAAGACATTTCCATACTACTTGCGTAAAAATCACAGGCACGCAATCCTTAATACGGTCATTTGACCGTGGCTGTCAATGGTCTGTGGAGTGATTTAGTTGGGCAGTAATGAAGCAATAAAGTCTGACGAACAGTCACAATGCGAAGTTTACACCAGACAAGTTTTTAAGCAGTCTTCTTACTACCCTTACCACATATAAAACCTTCTCACGGATTTGACAATATACTTTATCACGCTTGCCTAATCGTCTAGAAATAAAAATAACTGATTTCTAATTCTGCAGTAAAAGCCCCCCTGACCATAATCTAGATGTATTTGCAGTGAGGATAATTTAAATTTGGTGAAAATGGTCTGAGAAATGCTTCACTTTTTAGGGACTGTAAAATATTTCTCCGTACATATTCTTGTTGTTGCTACCGTACAAATCTCAGCCATAAATCAAGTCAAAAGCAGTGAAACCGTTTGTGCAAAGTTAGAAATTTGAAGAGCATCAATCCATGTTCTTGGTGCCGAGATATTCGTAGTTGGTCGTGCTCGAGGTATTGCAGATGGGCAACTCATTTCGGGTTAAAAACCTTCAACATATACAGTATAGTATAGATATTTGATAGAATTAAGTTTAAAGTGACAGGGGTGGATTTACAAGCACATTTATATCACAAGAGCGTCTGAATAACCTCAGAAGACATTCATTATAATATTATAATATTTTCAAATGAACTAAAATATCATCTTAATAGGATTCAAAAGCATCAAGACTGGTAATAATCTGATCTACAACCTTCTGGGATATAGCGGCTGAAACATTTAATCCAAACTGTGGGAATTTGCCTCTGAATTGCCCAAACGGTGTATTAATGGTAGCTAGTTCACTAGAGATTTCATCCAGTGGGATTTGCGAAAACATAGGTCTTTTAGAAAAGTACACATAATTTGTATGGTATATCCAGTTTCTTCATTTGCAATAGCCTTAGTCTTCTCAAACTTTAGATGTTTTTCCCTCTGCACTTAATAGTGTCATAATGGGAGAAGCCCAAATCGACGGCTCAACTGAGGTTATTATTCGCTTCTCAACCAGTTTACCTAACTCATTCTTCACAGCGTCTCTTAAACCATACGAAATTAGTTTCCGCTTCCAGGTGATAAGCTCTCGCTTTACCTCTAGGTGTACCGGTTGGATTTACATACTTCACACAGCCTTATAGCATACTAAGAACAGGTCTTCGACTGAGACACTAACAGAACAATTAGTGTGAACATCCAGTAACTGAAGGAATTGTAATACAAGTGCAGCTGGACTACACACTACCAACTAGGGAAGAAATATTGACATAACCACTACTTTCTTTCCTCAGTGTAGTAAAAACCGTGCTTATAATGTGTAAATGGTGGCTGGTGATGCCAGTGACTGAGCTAATTGTAGGCCTCATATCGATATCATCATAAAGAACAGCGTATTTTCCTCAAAAATATTTGACTTTATACTACCAGCATCAGCAATGAAAGAATGAAGCTTGCCTGTATTAGTAGTTAATTTCTACATTACGTGTGAGGTGCTGTTGTAAGCAGTAGAAAACGATAATGATTCCAATAATTTGCCTAAATCTGATGGTCTTACTCATAACAATTTATTTTCTTGGTAGGTGATGACTTGAAACTTGTACAACCTTTGTGAATCTAACCATTACTTCCACATATGTGGCAACAGGCATAATGAAACTGACATAAGCGACGAAGATGCACTTTGCCACACGAAACACTGGGCTTAACATGCAGAACCTAACTAAAAGTACTTTTTTAGCTCTTTTCTTGCCTGAATGAAATGGAACCATTCTTTTTAGAATTCTGTGGTTTCTGTAGTTGAGTAGATTTGTTCACTTTTGGTGATAGGGAGAAATGTTGCTTCTTAACATCACATGAATCAGTATTAACATCTTCATAAGTAAAACAACAGTCTCAAGCCGTCGGAAAGATGCAAGTAAGATTTCATATAAGCAGCTTCTCTAGTTTAGGATCATTTATTCTGGCGTTCAGGTGGTCAAATAGTTGCATATGCGACTGTTTGTAAAATTCTCGCTTGGATGCTTGTGTCCGAAGTTCTACTATGAGATCTCTGGTTGCACTTGCTGGAGCACAAACTGTGCTTATTCCCGTGTTTAGAATGTTATTACGCGAAAATGCTTGATCAGTAGTGTTTCAAGTTTGGTAAAAAAAGATTAGAATGAGTCTATCTGGATATGCAAGATTCTTCAAAATATTGAGAGCTTCTATACCAAAAGGGTTCATTAAAATGTCTGGAAAGCAATCTTCCTTGATGTCATGTGACAGACACTATGCATCACAGCACTGGAAATCATCTAACGAAATAGTAATAATGCCAGTAACTTACAACCTCAGTATAACACAAGTAAGAAAAGGGATCAGAAATGTGCATAATGAAATTAAGTTGTATGTTTAGATCAGATTTAAACACTACATAAAATATTTAATTATGTAATGAACATATTCGCTGTTCACGACACAGAGTTCCACCTTCGTATTACCAGTAACTTAATCACAGTTTCAGACATTCCGATTTATTATAAAATAAACTTGTACAACTTACTTGCTTAGCCTTCTTTTAAAAGAATAACATTTTCTTTCCTGGCTATCTTTTCCGAAGAATTAAGATCCAAAACTCATATTATAGTCAATTGGTCCAATGTTTAACCTTAAACAAAACTAATTCCATACGGGAGGTAAGTTGTTTGATGAGAAAGTGTTCAGAACAAAGTGTAAATTGTAACCTATTAAAAAGAAGAGAGAAGGAAAGTAAGCTGACTGCTCCAGACAAAAATGAATTTCAGTCAAACAGTGCAAACAAATGGTTTGAATTAGGCTTGACGTAGCATAAAACCCCAACGGTTTGATATTAAAACCCAGAGTTTCGTAGAGTTAGATTTTAAACGTGCTGCATAGATCAACATATGATTTTTTCCGACCTTCCACAATTTTAATGACTCTTCAACAAATTATTTTTTATCACTGACATTTTTATAAACTTATAAGGTAACGACATAATATTTCGAACTCGAAAACACTCGGTTTTATGTTCACGCCAACATAAGTTACAGATTTGAGCAGTAAATTACTCATAATTAAGTATTGGAGATATAGAATTACTTGCGCGTAATTTAAATGCTAATCACTACCAAGTCAACCTTGATTGCTGCCTCCAGCTCAGTCTCCACACACACAGACACCACCCAGGTGTTTCCAGTGACTTGAGTTCCCCTTCAAAAAATATTTCTCTAATGAGGTTTGTAAAAATGGAATAAGATAGCTTAGTCGTTCATTCTTGATTGGTTTATCCTGTTTTTGTGAAATTAACATTTCTTTCCTAAGACAATCGTTAGTCCGGTTTCCACTAACTTAGTGCATCAGTTATGTACCTTTTACACATTTCGGAATCGTTAACACTAATACTTAGTACTTTGATTTCCTTACATGCTGGCTGATTTATTACATAATCTCCTGCATCCTAGGTTATTCTGGATTAAGGATGCTAAAGAAAGTTGATGGAAACACATGTGACTGTCTTCCGCGAGTGGTGTGTTCTCTGCGGCTGCTAGAGTGGTCCATGATGGTTGTAGGTAGATTATTTACAAAATGTCCCTAGTGTGACTAGCGGTTTCCTCATAGCATTATGCATAAGTCTTGTTTGACCTATATTGCAAATAATAAAGAATAGTCAGGTAGTCTGGTATAGTTATTTTCCTACTGCGTAATATCTCAGTTTCAAAGTTCGGTTCAGAGTTGTGCGTTTAATAATAATCTTTCCCTCTGCTATTAACAATCATGCTCACTTTATACACATAATACTACTTTTTGGGGCTCTACAGTATTGATTTCATTTGTTTATTTCGGTGTTTTTATTAGCTCACCACATTTTCATTTAATTCTAATTATAGGTGTATCGTCTTTTATCCTAGTTGGCTAGATATCGTACAGTAAACTATGGCTTTGTTTCATTTTCCTACATCAAAAACTAGCTTCTTACTTCGTGTTGGGAAAATCCGAGTAAGTCTCATATAAGATGGTAAGGATAAAATATAGTGGTCATGTCATAAAATCCTAATGAAGTAGGGAAGTTGGTCTTTGACGTTTTAAAATTTTATGAGTTTGTCTTCAAAAACAGTAACAGCCAATTATCATACTTCATTGGTAAAAAACGCCAATCGAATCAAATGTGATAGGGAAATTATGAAGTGTTATGGTTAAAGGTGAGTGTGATCATTAATGCGACGGGTCCATTCGGTGAAAAAGCGACACTCAAGTCATGGAACTTCAGGATTTTACAAGCATATAACTTTTATCTTATACAGTCTCAAAATGTATTGTAACTTATAGCTAGGGTTATAAATTCAAAACTAATGTGGTTTAAATCATAATTCTTTGTGTTGTCAGTTGGTTTGGTTTGTTACATTAAGCTTTTCGCACACTAGACGTTAAATAAGATGTCCATTTCTAAAGATTCCTTTAGTCAGTCGTAACTGACTGATATATATTATGTGTTCTGATTTTCCAACGGTTGGAACACTCGGTTTTCGAACACCTAATCGCAGGTTTAAACTGCACCTCGCCTACTTCGGTCTAAGTAACTGTATAACACCACTGGCCCTTGTCGAGTGATGTGACTTAAATCTGAGCACGTAAACCTGCAATTCCTAATTTGATTGCATCACTAGTAAACTGGATTTACGATGTTTTGTTAATTTAGTTGGATGGTAGAGTCTGTAACAACCGTTTTATCTAATTTCAGAGTTCAAAATTTAAGTTGGTGATTCAATGTATTTATTACAGAAATCTGTTTTCATAAGTTATATCACTGCTCGTTAGCTCCGTTAGTCAACACATTCTTCTTGAGATCTCGACAGTGACAGTATTAGTATTGAGTAATTCCAAGAATTTTTATGTGCCTAGTAGGTATGCTTAAGTTTTAAAATATGCTCTGGAATCAATCAACTTAGTATGCTGAAATGCATCAAGGGACTTTATCATGATTTTGAGTAATAGTTCAGTAGTCTGAGGTTTAATTACTGATTCACAAGTTCGAACTCTGCTCGGGCCACTACAGTTTAGGGAGTTGTGTGTTATCGTAATGATAAAATCTATCACATATCCTTAAAGTATTTGGCGTAATCAGTTTCGGGATAGATCCATAATAAAAAGTAACTACCAATGTAAAACATACTAATTCACTTCAATATTTCGTTCTTATTCATGTTAGCTCCTCATCTATCTTTTTATTCATACTGATTATCCACACATATATAATGTACTAGTAACTGTTTCTTTACTTCTAAATACTTCAGTTCGATCAGAAGTATCCATCGTATATGGTCATCAAACGTTTTGCAATAGTACCGTCATCTCGTCAGGATATACATGCTACTGGCCGTTGTACGTTAGCTCCTGATCAGTCAGTCCCTCGATATGTTCCTCTTGCATCGTCTATTCGTCTCAGAAACTCTCCGGTTCCGGAACTTCGACAAGAATTTATTAATTTTTTTCGAAGCCATCAGCATTCAGTGGTGGCACCGGTTTCCGTATTTCCGAAGCGTCATGAAGGAAGCTATTTCATCAATGCGGGTTTGTGAATTGTGTTGCAGTAACCTAGTTTCAATTTTTATCCATCTCTTTAAGGTACAAGCATAGACATTACTAATAGTCTCCAATCGATAGTGATGCTGGTGGTGGTATTGTGAATAGTCGACTGAGGATGATGATGGTTTGTTAGTGAGGCGTTTGTAGCAGAAGTGAGGGTGTGTTTGTGTGTGCGTGTGAGTTGGTATAGAAGGGTTTGTGAAGGTATGAGTTTCATAATGGGAGAGGGAATGTGGTGCGATGCGGAATAGTGAGTGTGAAGCATCCTCCAAATCAGCGCTTCTCACACACCCACGCGCACAGAAAACGAGTGGTGCAGAGAAACGAATGTCATCCAACCACATGTTACTCGACTCTCGTATTCACAGTCGACCTACTTAGCATGATAGGATCCAAAAGAACATGTGTTCCATCCAATATAGTTCGGTTCAGTCATCATGATAGGTAGCTATATTCGGGTAGTAGTAATAGTATTTAATTAAGAATACTACACTTTTATCCACGTATACACTTGTGAACATCAACTTACTAAGTTCCACACTATAATTCAGTACATTAATATGGTTTCATGAAACTATCTTTTTAAAAGTTACTTGTTGATTTCCCTCTACTTTTTCCTCTTCGGTCAGGATAGGTATGAACCAATTTAAGTCGATTTTTCTCAATCAGTTGGATGGTGTTTGCTCAGAATTCAAACAGCTACGACGCGCTACCAATTCCCAACCATGTATTCGAATCGGTGGTCGTCATGATGACTTAAATGATGTGGGTTATGATCGACATCACCACACAATGTTCGAAATGTTGGGCAGTTGGTCTTTCGGTGACTACTATAAGGTTTGTCCGAGTTCTATGGACAAAGGTTTTGATTTGAATGGGATCAGTCAATTTTTTGTACTTTTTCATTAAATTAGTTAGCTCATAATGTTTGATGCTTATGTATCATAGTCTAAGCCAGGAAAGTAAAAATTATCATTAGTATGTTTAGTATGATTGATTATGTCCTGGTGAGTTTCTTTGGACCAGGTTACTAGTGCGAAAATTTATGTTGGACTTGCGTACACTGAAGTGTAGTTCAAATATAATCGAGAACATATTGTTAACTTACATGTAAAATCTAAACCACTAGATCACCGGTTCGAACGCCGTCCTACCAACTTCAGTTTGAACAAATGGACATCGTTCGTTCTTTCGAAATATATGACCCAAAGCTAAATACATAAGTTCGTACTTGCGGATGCTGTGCTAGCCCATCACAGTCTTGCATCTACCAACATTGGCCAGTGGGCCAGTGATTCACAGTTTGATCTTTTGGGTTTCTTCTAACGTTACACCAGTTAACATACCGCGTTAAAGAATGCGGTGGTTGTATATGCGTAATACATATCCTAACTAACTCAGTTGATAAAAGCTGGTAACTTCACCAGCCCATTTCCCATTTTTGTCAGTTACTCTATATTTAACCACAACATTACCTTCTCGGTCGTTTTACTATACAGGAGAAATTCTTCCACAACACCTGTGATCAAAAGCGTGCGACTAATAGTCGATGTACTCGCCCATTGTTTGGTAGGTAAACTTTACCTATGCAACAAGTGACACTAGCTATGTTTCTTTCATTCAAAATTATTTAGTATAGTTGAGTTAGACTTTTGTCGTTCAAATAATTCTACAAAAGTTGTTGATATCTCTATTTTTTAATTTTTTTTGTGACTGGAATACCTTAGAAAGAAGCTTGCTCTCAGGTTTGGAAATTTCTTACCGAGGTGTTAAACTTGCCTACCAACGCAATCTACATAACATATTTTGGTGGTGATCAAAAGCTTGGACTTCCTCCAGATGATGAAACACGTGATATCTGGTTGAACTTGGGGTAAGTTAATAATATTTTAACCCACCAAAAAAATACTAATAATTATTCTGCTGAGTTATATATTAACGTATACAAATCAAAGTCAGTTGATATTTTAAAACTATTGTGATTGTGTAGCACATTATAAAATGTGATATTCATTATTCTTTCTCGACTATTTATAGTATTAGTGAGACTGACTGATCTGTCTACAATACGGTTTTATTTTTGCTGGTGTATTATTATATTATATTAGCTTATAGCTGTGACGAGCAATTTGAGGAAAGAAACATATAAGTATATGATGGGCAAATCTCTTTATTAAACTGTAGATAAACTGTGAATTATGTGGATGCAATGTAAATTTTTTCCTGTTATTATAAATTACTAGTTAAGTCGTCTGAAGAAATAATCTAACTTATCTATTAAATATTTTTACCAAGTAGGAATTGGCGTTTTTGACTCTAATTCACTCTCTGAGCATCAGTGGTACTATGCAGGTTCCCAAACCGAGGTAGAGCGAGGTTTTAACATATAATGTTGTGACTGGAAGCCAAACGTTTTAATAAGTCATCGTCCCACGGGTAAATAACCTCTAATATCTTTTGCTAGATATTTTTGTTAACTAGCGCACAATACACATTAAATGTAACTTTAAGTAATATTTAACACTGTTACATCATAACGTTACCTCGTTACTACACTCTCATCAACAACTAGGTTTTAGCTGAATTCTTTGTATTACAATATTCAATAATATAATATAAATTATTTTGATTCACCGTTTTTGATCAACACTGAAATATTAAACGTAATGTATAATATTATTTCAGCGTAATGGATCAAAAATTAATGCCATTTGGTGTTGAATCAAACTTTTGGCGTGCAAATCAGTCTAGTGGTGGAGGATTGTGTGGTCCGTCAACTGAAGTGCACATAGATTTCAAAGCACTGTGTGGTGGAGACCAATTAGACTGTGCACGTTGTTTGGTGAATACTTCTAGCCCTCAGGTTTTGGAACTGTGGAATTGTGTTTTCATAACACATCGTATTATGGCTGGTAATGATGTGCCCGACAAACATTTGAAACCTGATCTTCTTCAACCTTTAGCTAAGTCATTTGTAGACACTGGAATGGGACTTGAACGACTTGCATGTGTGATGCAGGTCAGTTCTATATAATTGTTTGTATTTCGTAAGTTTTATGGCATATACTTTCTCTGAGCAAATTATTTATCAGCCGTTACGCTGTAGCGTGATATGCAGAATTATCCATCACTAAAACTTGTCAGAAGGATCGCGCTGTTATTATGCATTTCAAACACACCATATAGTATTGCTGTCATTGTCTTTTTAGGCTCAAGCAAACTTTCGGAAATGAAACCTAGTTATTTGATGGTTTTCAACTAATCTGTTGAGCGTGTTTCGATCCTATTCCTTAGATCGTGGTTTATTGTCAGTTATGGGAATTTGCTTCCACTACTTAGTAGAGCATTTATTGTTCTAAATAATCGTTTCTGTCCATCAGAACTACCCTATTACCGTTATTCGGTCTTGAGATTAACAAGCTGCCACTAGTTTTAAGTTCGTGTATTTTTTATTTCGCGAATTATGGTAGTTTATCAACTCCATAAAATTCCTCTTCAGAAATTTTATTTATGTAGGAATTCGACGAATTTATTCCGTTTGACACATAATTTTTCTGCGTTCGTCTAGTAGGTTAAACTGTTGAACAACATATGAGCTTCCAATATACTTTAATAAAATAGCAGTTTTTCTAAATGGGGATTTTCGCTTTTATTTAAGTAAGCAGCAGATATAATTCAAAAGGCATTTTGATACGGAGAAGCATTACCTGAACTTAAAACTAGTGGTAGCTTGTTAATATCAAGATCAAATAAGGTTAATTAGGATAGTTCTGATGGACAAAAACGATTATTTAGAACAATGAATGCTCTACTGGGTAGTGGAAGCAAATTCCCATAATTGACAATAAACCACGATCTAAGGAATAGGATCGAAACATGTCCAACAGATTCGTTAAAAACCATCAGATAACTAGGTTTCATTTCCGAAAGTTTGCTTGATCCTAAAAGGACAATGACAGCAATACTATATGGTTTGTTTAAAATGCATAAAAACACCTTGACAACTCCAGCTAAATTGTGATGTTTTATTAATTACTTTATTATTCTGACAGGGAATAACGTCAAATTATGATTCCTATGAGCTGAATGGTTTAATGGAATTTATACACTCAAAGGCGAGTTCATCTAACAGTTCTGTACCTGCTTATCAAGGTTTATTTTTGTCCCAACCGCTACAAGATGTTGAAACTAAAGCAGATAAAAATCACTCAGAAACTACTCTATCTTCTTTATGGAACAAAATATCTGGGAAATCTGCATCTGCCGTAAGTAGATTGTTGAAAGGTTTTCGGTTTAAGTTTTAAAAGGTACTAGTTTTGTCTTAGGTGTTCATTCTCTAACTGTTGGTTACACTTGAATTAGGCAAACGTTTCAACTTTAATACCGCTAAAATTTATATTTTTGTATTCATTATCGATTGTAGAAGAAAAATAAACGATACTTGACCTCCCTCGATTCATTCATCACACTACTTTTTCAGAAAAATGATCTCAACTGTTTTAAGAACGACAATAATATCTCTACTAAATGGCACTGTAGATATGTAAGCAGTAACCTCATTGTTACACATGAACGTAAACACGTCATTTGATATACTTAAACTATTACGAGTTTACTTTAGTCGGAAAACGAGAACGAGGATCTGGCGACATGACAGGCTACTTTTATCCGATTGTCCCGAACCCCCATTGAGTAAAAGAAGAATACTTGATATCAAGTAGAACATGCATTTTGAAAGCATCCAGAAAGTTTGATGTCCGAGTCCAGAAGAGAATCAGGATCCCGGACTACGGATCCGGGTCCGGGTCATAGAACGTTACAGATAATTCGTATTTATTTAGTTAGGTCGAATATGAAACAACATTGAAGTACCTGACATTGATAGCTAGGACGACCATAATATAGACCAGTAGGAATCGACCAATAGAATTAGACTTACAAAAGTAATTCTCTTAGGATATTTGATGAATACCCTACCACTTATACAGTTGAAAATTAGTTAGTATCAATAATGCAAATTGTTATGGATCGGGGCTTATAATTGAAATATACACATATATAGTGTGTGATGTGATCGATAAATGAAACCATCAGTGATAGTATTGAACACCTACCACAGCGTTGAATTTCTGACTTTGTATGACTATACCTTACTTATTCAAAATTCATCATCTTTCATGTTCGTCTTAAACAATACTGAATTCATTGACTCATTTTTCCTGTCCTCCAGTTACTGTCGCTCTCTTTCCTCACTGATAAACTGTGTCAGTCAGTCAGCTGCAACGTAGAGCTTTGTACGTACGTGCATCAGTGCAGGTTGCCATACCATATTAGCACATAGACGCAATTGTCCTTTCATATCCCATAGTAGTAGGGGTAGTAGAAGTATTAGCGATAATGAAAAGGATTATGGATCGAAGATGTTATTCAAGAAGTATAATTCAATGAAATAAATTTAAAAAGGCTACTTGAAGAGCGGAGCTAACACATTAACATTAACATAAAGGACGTGCGTAACTGGCCTCAAGCATTAGCTCTTTGGGCTCTGCAGTCATGTTCCCAAGTCGCTTAAATCAACGCTAATCCAACTTCCTTTGCAGGTTCTTCAAGAAACACCCACGGTGTGGGCAGCCTGGAAGTGACATCGGCCCGTAACAGCACCGGAGACCAAATCGGTCACAATCAAATAGATTGTATCACTTTCTTTGTACACTGGTGTTGATTTGGATTTTAGAAACAGATAAAGTTTATCAAGTCAAATAGCTTCCTTTTTCTGACTTTTGCCATGCTAAAACTTTGTGTCCTACAGTCCAGGAGTTAGCCTAGAATTTCATCTGTAGGCAATTACCTCCTACATATAGTTTTCATGACTCAATGATTTATGGCGTCGTCAGTTCGCTGATCATTATTAAATGTAATGAATTGAATAAGTCATTGGCTTTAGGAAAATTATTTGAATTAAGAATCTATACGTATAGTAAACCGAAGTGTCAAGAAAAACAGTACTGGAAATGTCAATACTGCGTTACCACCGTGTTCTGTCTGTTGTTAGCTGAATCTAGTTTCATTTAAATTATAGTTATAGTTCGTATTTTTCTAAATCACTATTGGTGACTGTCAAATGTGTTTATGTCACCGTTGAATTCTTGTTTCATTTATTTTCTCACTGCACCCTTTAACTTACCTATGTGTAGGCTGTATGCTCGAAATCACACCTTGCCATTGATCATTCTTGGAAAAATCCTGATACTGATAATGATTATGTTGAAGTGTGGCATCGAGATATCGCCTATCGAATACTGGCCGATCATAGTCGCGCTTTAGCATTTGCCTTGTCAGATGGTTTATTACCGGGACGTCAAGGTTTACCTCTGAAAATCCGTCAGCTTATTCATCGAGCCTTTCGTGCATCGGTTTTAACGGGTCTTGATACTGAAATAACTACGTCGGGTAAATTAAAATCTCTCCTTGGAGCTTTGGTATCCGAAGTAGCCAAGAGGGATGTTCTTAGTCTTCAGTCATTTTTTAACACGATGGCTGTCATAAGGGGACCTAACTATAGAAAGTCTGATGCATTAACTCCGGAGCAAGTGAGTTAATTATCATGTTGATGTTGATAAATTTTCTAACCTTGTACAAACCATACAAATTGTAACATATTTCTCTTGTATATTACTGCTATATGAGCAAATGCTTTTCCCAACTGATTTTGTGTTTTGATATTTCTACGCTAGATAAGTGAAGTTTCACTCTCACTATTATAAGCGTTCATAAGATAATCGTTACATGATAATGTTCGCTACGATCTGTTTAACATATAGTATGCTCATTACTTTGCATCAAAATAATTTGTTTATTTAGTGGATTAACTTGGTTTTTATCGTCCTATTTGATAAGTTCTGCTAGCGATACCTCTAAGCTGTCTTCCCAATCAGCTCCTGTAACTCCGAAGTGTTTCTACGCAACAACTTGAACACTAGAGATATGTCATGAATTTGAGTAAAAGGTTAATTTATGCGTAGAAAAAACGCAGAACACACACGTACGCGCATTCCATTATATTGTGATAAGTTTCTCCGTTATCTTCAACTACGACCAAATAATCTATCGTTTAACTTTAAAATCAATAAATGTTTTTTTTCTATCAATGAGACAAAATATGACATTAGTAATACTTATTCTTTTTTGTCATTTTTAAGCTATTCAACATATTATTCATGTTTGAAATGGAGATAAATATTGACTGAATGACAATTATGGATTGTGGTTTCAGTATTTTATGGTTTTATTTTATTTGAAAAAGCTAGTCATCCCATAATGTTAAGAGGTGCTAATATCACTTGTCGATATATTAAGGAATACATTCTACTGAAGAAACAAAAGGAACAGAATAGCCTTCCGGTGGTTTTGTTTCATCCATGTGTATCATTCTATGATTAAAATTATCCTAGGTCTAAACTTTGTGACGGCAGATATTCGATATAGTTTATAAACCTCGTATACTGCTCATCCTGATAGCCGTTACTAAATAGCGCCTAAAGGTGCATAAAATTCATAAGACAATGATAAAGTTTGTTATCGCACTACAACGATCACAAAACCATGGGCATACGAAGCGTAGTGATTTGCACATTAATATGATTAAAATATATACATTATACAGGAAAACGAAGGAGTCATCAAATTATTTAAGTTACTAACATTAAAGCTATTTGGATGAATATGTGCATAAGTTGTGAGCAATACTCAAGCATAAATACTCATAAAAACGCGACAATAATTAAAGTACTAAGTATAGACAAATTATTACCGTTCAAAAGACTTTGTCTGTTAAATTTGTTGATAAAAAGGCTTACTCAAATTAAACGTAGAGAACTCAAATGTATGAGAAGTGCCGTAAGTTAATCTACAGCTCTTAAATGGTAAAATCTTAACTATGTGACTTTTGTTTTGATTCTTAACTGAATACCTATCTTTGTTAGTTTATGACTTATGTAAAAATAATCAACCCTTAATTACCATAGATGGAATCGGTTATCAATGAAGAAGTGACTTGTTTTGCACCTCGTTTATTTCTTATGGAAAAGTCATTTGATCGATGTTTGGAAGAATGTACCGATAGGAGACAACTATCAGGTAATATGTGAAGGAGTGATTTTTTCAAATTCAGATAATTTGGAAAGAGCGGCTCTTTTAACTAATATCATGATTTACTCAATAAAAAACTTGTCTGTAGTAAAAGAAATGTTGACTTTAATTCTAAGCTCGGGCTAATAAACTTGTGTCAGTGGTTTGTCTAACCTTTCTATGGAACTAGGTACATTATTGATTTGGAAAAACTAAGTAGATAATCTTGAGAAAAAGTTTACTCTTGCATGACATCTAGTACTGACTAGTGCTCCGTTTTCATAGCATTAACATTCGGAAAAATACGTGGACCGTGGGTTTGAGGTCATACTAGTTTGATTTAAATATACTGTACGATATCCACTTCGGTCTCGTGTATGCTCTTTAGTGCTCTTGATTATAGGAGGAATCTACTAGCTAGAAGGTACTTAATATAACTGTAATGAAGATAAATTTAGTCACTATTTGGCCAGGTTTTACGTGTATACATATCACTTTCGATCTTCATTACCGACCAGCTATAACACAGTGGTCTTGTAGGTATAGTAATTAATTCTTAACCATTAGGTTAGACGTTTGGTTTATTCAGCTTTTACCTTCTTTCTACATTTTACTTTGTAGTAGATGCACTCCTCGGAGTGAATTTAAGGATTTGTTTCCTAGTTTAAGATTTTATGATCTTGAGTTTGTAGATGACATACACCTGTTTATCAAAGACACTGTTAAAGCGTGGGGTTGTCTAAATTCTTTGAGTGACGATTAACTAGTGTTTACGTTGAGCACTCTCATTAAACCAGATTGGGATTGTTCTGTATTAACGTCTATTGTGAATCAATTGTATGTCTTGGTTTGTTTATTTTTTACCGTTTCTTCAACCTGTGCTGCTATTCTATCTACACTAGGATAGGCGGTGACAAGTCATTTCTTGGATATATATCTATTACTTCAGCCTGAGACTTCGCAACCCTATCAGCTTATTAACCATTTTTAATCTGATATTGTATGCATGCCAACATTTTGCAGTGGACGTTCTTGGTGTAGGAAGGATATAGTCTTTCCTAAATCTTCCCATCTAGGAAGCTGAAATCACTGACGATGTTAGTAACTCATGAGAAAATCCTACTGTCTCTACGATATTGTAACTATATCCAGTGTATCGTTCACTGTTTACCTGATGGATAAAGTCAAGTATCTAGTTGTTTTAATGTATATCTGATGGCTTATGTAGTCTCATAAGACAAATTATATAAACTGTGGTCAGTGTTAGTTGTCTCCATGTATGTTTTAATTGGGGCTATTAAAATAAGAATTGTATGAGAAATTAGAATAAAATATTTATGGTTTGTACTCATGTTAAAGGGCTAGCGGCCCCCAAGTAGGGTAGGAGTAAGAAGAGTTCATTCTCTTCATAATTCTTCCATATTCACAGCTGCCGGGCAAGTCCTATTCATTGCCTTTTCATGGCGTGGGTGCTGTTTACGAAACTGAGTGGACGAAAAGCGAGTGTCCGGTGTTTATGTGCTAAAATAAATAACCTCCATCATGCTTAATGATGATTTTCAAAATTTTCCATTTCTTACTTAATATTGATATTCTTATTATATAGCTGAACAAGTAACTAAATTAATGAATGGTGATTATGGACATCACGTAAGCTGGGATATGATATGTGCGCAATCATGTTGGGCTGGTCTTTTACCACCTTTACCGATTGAAACGAACTATCCATCAGACACGAATAAACCTTTGCTGTTTAAAAATCAGAAATTAAATTCAGATGTAATTTCACGTCAGTTGCATAATTTATGTATACCGTTTACGGATGATTCATTTAAATATGATTGTTATCCAAAATATGAACCTGTTTCAAATGCAACTAGACAATATGGTGAGTTGTGGATTGCGGTACAGCATAACTTCATATTCGTTTGTTGATTTAAAAATTGATTTAAATTAAAACGATCGTATGCTGCATATCTCCTGAATCTTTTAATTTTATTATGAACTATATAATTTAAAGTATAATGCTACAAACTTCTGCTGTTTGTTAAATTTAAGTTGTAAGTCTCTTAACGGTATAGTATTAAATTTATGTATGTCACAAAAGCTTTTTCATGATAGTTAGTTGGTGACAATTTGAGGATAGCTTGAGACGTTTATTTCATTAACTCAATAAAGAAAACGTGTTTTTTCTTAAAATGTTTAACCCGTTATCTCTAGTTAGGCTAACAATAATTAGTTACAACAAATATCGAATTATAAGTTTTGCTGTGGTGTTTGAAATTCTTTGAGGCTACCTGTGTATACACATATTTATGCTTTGTTTATTTACCATACATCTGACCGAAACTTTATTGACTTTTAAAGTAACTGGCATTTATGTTAGCATACAATGAATATGTTGAGCCCGTACTATACAATGAATGATATCCATTTGGTATGGATAATAACATGTTTATACTTTAAAATCCCTTCACTAACTTGATTGATCACTACTCGTATAAAATATAAGTCTGCTTACTTACAAACTATGGTGTAACATATTAATCATCTTTGTCAAACTTAGATGTCTATCCAAGTCTTGTAAAGTGCATGGTAGCCTTGTTAATAAATATCCCAACATAGTAGTTATATACAAATTAATATAATGGGTATTGTAATCGCAAAATCAATTGTTTTTTTGGAATCAAGTAGTTATAGACATTTTAGTGTGTTTTCTTGTTGCTGATAAAACTGCGATAAGACTGATATAAAACCTGGTGAAATTTCAGATTTATGTTAGTTCTTCATCTACTACACACTATTTATTTATCTGTTGTAGATTTTCCTGATTGTGAAACAAAATTATTAGGATTACTTACTCTTGACAATAAAGAAACAGATTGTATTTTAATGACGAAACAGTCTTCATCTAATTCAAATTTTACTTCTGTAATTCAAAACCTATGCAGTGCAACAAATAATCTACTCGGTTTTATTTTTGAAAAGACTAACTTTTTTACACCATGTGGCGGTCAAGACACTGATACTGGTCTTATTTGTTGTCCTTCAAAGGTAAGCTTTATTAAATTATACTCCATGAAATAGTTGGTGTGAACGTGAATCATTATTGTTAGTCGTTTCTGTTTAATTTATTCCCCTCCATGTAACTAATACTTGAGTTTACTTTCTAGTTATTAGTTTTCTGTCATAATAGTGATATGTTGTTTCATTTCTTAGGGTTAGTATTGTATTATGAACATTGAATTGAAAATAAGATCAAAACCAACATCTACACCAATAGATGTATGTAGGTTTTTCATTGTTGTTATCATCAACCAATTGTGTTTTACGGAAAGCAACATTAATAATTATGAATGAATAAGTTGTAGTCATTTTTTACTATTGTCTTAACGTTTGTCACAGCTGCCATTGCATAAATATGTTTTGTAAGTATTCATCAGTCGACTTCATTTGATCAGTACAATTTGGGTAGATAATAAAAGAGTTTGATTTTTCTCAACTCATTGGTTTTATGTTCTAAAGCCAATGTATTTGTATGCCCATTGTTTAGCAGTTACTGCACAAAGTTTCATGGTACTCTTTAATATATGGTATTCCACATAACATAGTTATTTATTTATTTAATGCTTTTATTCAATTCTGGTACAATAGAGCGCTAGAATATACTCCACACAGATGAAAGAATAAAGGAATTAGGGTTAGTATAACGTATATCTATGTCTATATTATCACGTTACAGCTTGCCTCTTTTCACTAGCTTCCTTACCGTAACAATTTTATTTTTGTAATACTCAGTGTGTAAAAATACTCTACCTCTTGTAATTTGTAGCAGAGCAACCTTTTTTCTTTCTGTCTCACTTCAGATTCTTCAATTTCAAGTTGCTGAAACAACTTTTATTCCTGACCCTACTTCAAACTCGTTAACTAGTGGTTGGGTTATACATTGGTGTCGAAAGTCAGACAATTTATTTCCTTCATTGAATTGTCTTGATTTTGATCAGTCGTTTGTTTTAAGTATTGATAAAGTGAGTACACTTTTTGTTGTATTATAGAATATAATTTTAATAATTTACGTATAAATCCTCTAATGAATAATTCGTACTTTAATTACATAACAAGTTATCATCTTTTATGACAGCGTCATATTATGACGAACACTTATATGACTTTGTAACCTATAGGATTAATAAAAATCGATAATTATATTATTTAAATGCACTTCGTCTTTTTATCTTATGATCTTCGACTTCCAGTCAGCAATATTTGTTGACATTCAATATACATACTCATGTACCACTACATAATTGAAACCGATCGCCATCTTAATCGTAGTTTTACTTATGTGTTTGACAGTTATACTAGTGTCATCACATTATCCAAAAGCATATGCAGTCTTATTGTACATGAACTTTGGCACAGGTGCATCGATTCATTGTGTTCTGTCAAATTCTGATCTTCAGAATTCCTCATCATCTCAATCTTTCTCTTTGTAAATTTATCCCACTGAACTATACTTCTTGAATAATATCTTCGATTCCTAATATTCTCCATTACCAGTAATTCTTCTATTATCTCCACCACTGTGGGATTTGAACTGACAGTGGCGCCTCTGTGCTAATGCGGTATGGCAACCTGAACTGATGTACGTGAACTTCTGTTGTTGTTCTTATTAGATTTAAAGTACTATTTTCTTCGTAACAATTATACATAAATAAGCCCGAAGTAGCTGTGAATAGGAGAGACGGTAGTTAATAGGCTAGAAAAAAATTAAGAATTGTGAATCATATAACAGTAGTTAGTGAGTCAACCAAAAGCTTGTACCCAGAAAAATATATATAGAAAGTAATCTAGTTACTCAATAGTTATACAATAAGGATATATATATAATAATAGTAATCCATAAGTTTGTTTTGGGAGTTACTATTCCTCTAGTTTTCATTCTAATATATCACTCACTGTACCAGCTTATTTATTAAGTGTTGATTCTGGAAAATCCAAACGTGAAATCGTAAACATTCTATGTCAGAATTTGCATTTATTCAGTTATTTACCTTTTTTCATACTAATTTATGACTTGTTAATATATGTTGTAACCTGTTCCTAATAGAATCTTTATAACGGTCATCAAATTTTTTGGTCTACTTTCACACAGTTATCATCAAAGATGTTATTTTTGGACGTCCACTTTTACAGCTTATAAAACAATTGAACACTTCTGTTAGGAGTATGAGGGTGGATGTCACTTCCCGGCTGCCCACACCATGGAAGGGTATTTCTTGAGGGACTTGAAAAGGAAGTTTGATTAGCGTTGGCTTAAGCGACCTGGGAACATGATGGCAGAGCCCAAAAGGCAATTGCTTGAGGCCAGTTACGCACGGCCTTTATATGCGAATATATGAATGTGTTAGCTTCACTCTTCAAACGGCCTTACCTCTGGAGACGGGAATTCGTCAGCTAAGGTAGGTGTAACCTTTTTAGGGTCGACCTCTTCCATGTGAGAAGGCAGCATTGCTGCGGATGCTGGTTGTTTAAGGGAAACACCTTACTACTGTCACAGTCATCAGTACGACTTCTTCCTCAGACCTCAAGTTGCCACTTTTAATGTTAGCGTTCTCCAGTCGATCTGCCTAGCATTGGGCCTGAAGAAACATTGGTTCCCGTCAATATAGCTTTGTTGGATCATCACGATATGGGAGTCCGACCGACCAGGGTAGCAGGTACGGTCGGGGCACATTCCTGGTGCACGTACTTAAATGTGCTAGTGTTAAAACTTTCATTGGTGCAAATTTTTTTCTGTTGAACTTGACTTTCTATCAAAAAATAAATAAATTAGTTCTTATTTTCTCCCCTATCGAATTCAGGAACGCAGATTTAATCTAATGTGTTCACATACTGGTCAACATTTATTTACATCAGCCTTAGAATCGTCGGTGTTATCTCATGCTTCAGATTCTTCAGCGTTTCAACATGTTGGTGGCACTTCTCATCCTAATTATTTCACAGTAAGGGCTGCTATTGTCGGTCCACCGTCAGAACAAATGCAGGAAGATCTAGGTAGTTTTACAAGACAATTAGAACAAAAGTGTCGAAATCTAATTAGTGAAAATGCATTTATTTCTATTCAGAATAAAGAATTGGCATATGCCCTAACGGTGAGTTGCAAATTTCTGTTCAACATAACTTGAATTTAATCAAAAACGTTCTAATACTTATTTGTATTAAATACACTAAACTGTAGTCACTTAAAGTGGAGATGCATACAAATCTTTTTTTGAAAAGGGAAATTTACAGATTAAAATTATTGTTTTAATAATTCTCAGAACTGTTTTGGATGAATATTAAAGGCTCAATTCATAGTAATAGCTTCGATTTACATTCCTATCTTATTCTTGCTACCGGTAACTAAGCGGTCCTGTAACGTTTGGTTGCTTGCAAGCCAGTTTTCAACTCTATGTTTGGAGATATGCAGTTTATAACTTGGTTACATGTGAGCACCTTCTGCATCTAGATCACTGATTGTTTCTTATTCTGAATACCCATCTTTTGTATCATACAATCGCGAATATTGCACTGTAATACAATAATTAAACTGATAAATAATGCAATAATGAAGGTAACATGCCCTACCTGTTTTACACCACATCACCTAGTGTTCTAAAGTATTCATTTCGTTTTGTTGTTCTGTATGCTACTCGATTTAACAATCAATGAAGTTACAATGAATTTCACTTAATTTGATCATAATAGATTGCCACTAAAGAATATGAATTCATTTATTTTGCATATTCTCTCTCGCTGCATACAACTAATAAATATACAAATCAATGTACTTTCTTTGTTTCATAATCTCAGACAAATTCTCATAAATAACGTCAAACGTAAAGAACAATTAATATAGAAGAGTCGTAGAAGATGTTTATATATTTGGATATTTATATGTTAAGCAATGTAAACACTCTACAAAGAAGAAGAAAATACTTATTTTATAAGATACTTATTAAAATTTCTAAAAGGATTGATTATCAGGAACGAAATTGTAAATCTCAAATACAGTAGATTAATTCGTACTATTTTTCAATAAACGATAACTCTTAACTGGTCAGTGATTGAAAACGTTGGATAGCATGGTTCAAAATCGTTCCCAATAGTGCAGATACGTTCGCTTTTTATCTTGCTCTCAATCTTATCTCCCATTATCACTTCATGAATATCTTTCCACTGTATGTCTAAACCATATACCCTAACATTTACTCGTTTTATTATTGCTAGTACATTATTTTGACCTCTATGTTTATTTTGTCTGCTTGCCTTTATTGAAGAAACTAAAATTACTTTTTATACTATTTTCCAAGGTGAAACAAGTTCGACACTTCCCTTGGGAGGAATATGCTGCAAAAGTACGAATCGTGTGTATAGGAAAAGAAAGACATTCAAGCAATGATGATGAATTAACAGATTTCAATTCTGTCATCTCAGCTGAATTGTGTGGAGGCACACATCTTTCTGAGTTGTCTGATTTACTAGATATAGCAGTTGTTTCAGTTAAAGGACGTCAAAAAACTGTCAAAGAAGTAAGCCAACTTTCATTACTTGAGTATATAAGTCTTAAAATATCCCTTTCTAATCAGTATATGCTATTTTGTTATGTTATTATTGGTTTTTCAAGTTTGGATTTCACCACTCTCATGCATCCATCATTGTAGTTATTCTTCAATAAGAATCAATTCTTCTTTTAAATTTCCACTCAACAGTGTGAAAATAAATGTGCATGTATAGTATATTATGCCACAGAAATACCTTTCTTATATTTACATAAAAATAAATATTTTTGAATAATTTGATAAAAAGACAAAGATTTGCAGATCTATGTGATATACTAGCGCACTATATTTAGAACAATCAGACACACTTGTTGCCACGTAGTTCTGATAACTTTCGTCCAAATATATATATATATATATATATATATATATATATATATAGGAAAATGGGTTTGACTGCAAGTAGATAAATTATCAATAGATAAAATCTTAGGGACAAATGGTTTTATTATGAATTTTAACTGCTTATATAATTTCAATTAAGGAATACGTTTAAAGAAACGTTTAAATAAAAATAATCACCAAAACATTTTCTTCCTGATTTCGATTTTTTGGATGTTCTACATTGTCTTGTGCAAAATCGATAGATTTGCCACATTGAAATATCTTAGCTGTTAATTTTAGGAAGTTACTTGGTTGTTTTTATTGATTGTAATTGAAGAATCCTTTTTTCATTCTCTTAATTCATTTCTTAGCTCTTTTTGTTGTGTTCTGTACCCCAATCCACTGAGTACAAACGCTCTTAACGCTTGCATAGAAAAAAGATCGTCATTGAGTTGGAAATTTTATTTTCAAAAGTTGAACAGGAACATTAACAGATTATGAGTATTTTTGAGTTGTCTGAATGCCATGATCATATAGGTTCGAGTCTTGGTTTAAAAAATACTTAATAACCCTTCCGAACTTGCATCCCGCCATATGACCATGAATTAGCAAGTGATCTGTTAAACTCCACTTAAAAAAGAAATATCTGTTTCTAAATGTTATTACCTAATTTGAATTGTCTGTTTTTATCAATGTCTTAGTTAAGGCAGCTTTATAATGCAGCCTTTGTCTAGTAATATAAGTGCCTTATTCCAAAGTCGACTACAAAACCGTTTACAATAATGATGCTGTATATCAGCCGCTTAATTCACAAGCAACAATTATTTATTTTACTATGCAATAAATTTCCTGTGGTATCAAATTACGTAAGAGTTTCGTATTGTGTATCTTTCTTAAAATCATCACCCTACTCCGATGTATATTTTTAACGATTCATTTTAGTTCACTTGTATTTTTGGTCAGTCTGCTAAACGTGCACATCAGTGTGCTGATGAGTTGATTCAAGAAGGTAGGTCAAGAGAAAAAGAAGCTATTTCTAATCCTGGAAAAGCAGTTCATCATATTGATTGGTTCAATTCTGTTTTAAATGATTCACATTATGCTGGATTTCTCCCATTATATGCTCGATTAGCATTAGAAACTAATCTCTATCGTATCAATCATAGAACAGATATCATTGATACTGACCAAGTTCAATTATACATTGATAATATGAAATTACTAATTGAGAATAATAACTGTGAAACATCTCAAGCTGTAATTTCTCAACTTGATTTTCGTAGATTAGATGAAGTAAGTTGCTTTAACTTACATAGATGGTTTTGTTTCACTTTTGTATTAATCATTTCTGGTATAATCAATGGTAGCATATCCATTCGTCAGAATTAAATATTCTAACTAAAGTTGTTATGGATTTATAGTGAATGCTGTATATTTGATATTTATACTCAGTAGTCATTTTCATCTTTAATCATATCGCCTTGTCTTCATTTCCAATCGAAAAGTTTGCACTCAACAGTGAGATTAATTTATTGTTTTGACTATCTGATGTTTGCTTGATTATTCTGTTTTGTTTTGTTTTTTGTTATCTTAAAGCTTATTCTTGCATTTCTACAACTCAATATGAATCAACCATTTGTTGTATACCATATGAATTTAGCTGTTTGTTATTTTCCCAAATCACATGTAAGTCAGTGTGAAAAGATTTTTTTTAATTTTTCGCATAAAGTTTGTTAATTGTAATACAATGAACGTATAATTTACATACTATAAATATTGTTATATAGTTTAATTTAGTCGATAATATTATGATGTGTATTATTACACTTAGTTTATCCAACTCTCCTTTTCTGACTAATACAATACAATGCATTTTGATTTCGATCAGAACATTTGGATAGTTGACTTCTTGTAAAGATTTTCTATATTAGATTCGTAAAATTAAGGCACACAAGTAATATAAATAAAATGAAACTTTAAATCATTTACTATTCATTCTAGTCCATTCAAATTTTTCTGTAACTCACTTATTCTTATCCTTTTAAAATGTTATCAAAGTGCATTTAATCCTGCTTTTTACTTCTCTTTTTGTATTATTATCGAATTGTAACAGTTCAAATTAGTCATTAATCTTTCAGCTTTTATTAATTTCCTACATTTTACTTGTTATCATCTACCACGTTAGCGAATGTTTGTTTCATATATGCATTTTTATCTTGGTGCTCATAAGTTTCTGGTGAATAATTTATGAAGAGACCTTTACCAATTAATGCAACTTTATAGGTGTAAGTGAATTTTTTCTTTGATTAATCCAAACGATGTTAGAAATTCTTATATTCCAAGTTTATGAAATTATAGAAATCAACAAAATATAAACTCAGGTAGAAATTCTTCGAATCAATGAAAGTAGTGTGGATACATTTACGACGAATTTTCAACTCAGTTTATTCATATTTGTTTATACCTACTCATCTGTTCTTATTTGTTTTTTTTCTTACAGTCAAATCAAACAGCTTTAAATTTAGCGCATATGATCGCTAAACTTTTATCTTCTGAACTTGGAATAGTGCATTTAACAGTGAAAGGTCGACCTTTACGTTCTAATCACTTGCAGGATGATGATCGGTACAAATATGCATTCCTCCAACTTGCATCTGCATCAGATACTTTTACTACAACTACTAAGGTGCAGCAATCATTGAATTGGAATCATCACCATACATTATTGACAAAGTGTGTAAACTCAATTTTAATGAGTCCAGTTTGTGATACCGCATAAAATTTTCAGTTTTGAATATAAAACTACCTGCTTTTTCTAATGTAGATTGTTTTATTCTCAAAATATTTACAGTTTGTATATTTACTTGTCATCCCCTTTTTATGTCAAGACAATATACATTAAAACCTCTTTCTGAAAATGATACTAGTTTTCTCTACTGTCTTATCTCGACTTTTCACTTATGGAAAAACAAGAAATGTATTTTATCTAGGGAAAAACACATTTTGACATAGCGACTCTCAAAGTCGTTTCGACGTTGGATCCAACTGGATCACATCGCTATCAGCGACTGATGGAAAGGCTCCAGTGATGTCTGATTGGTCGCAATCCTTGTTTGTCCCAATTTATAAAAGAGGACAAAAGTCCTCTTGTGACAAGCACAGAAATCAGTTTTATTGAATGTTAGCCTTGATAATACTTTCACGCTTAATTATAACTCATGAAGCGTAGACTCGAGAAAGCCATTATGGGTTCAAACCTATACGTGGATGTTTTATATACTAGATACCCGCACTTCGCCGAGTCCTAGAAAATAGACGCACATCCTGGAGTCCGACAATAGTCATATTTTTCTGCCTTAATGCGGAATATGACTCAGGTTCTATGACAGTGTCTGTCACTGAAAGACGTACCAAAGAAGAACATTAACCTTATACAAGCTCTCTACTCAAAAACTACTGGATGAGTAAGAGCTTATGGCGAACTGTCATCAGTTGAGCGCGTCGACCGCCTCACTTATCACGAGAGTCTCATCAGTGCTGATGGCCTGGTGTCTGACGAAATTCTAGCACAGATACAAAATCCTCGACTGGCTTTTGTCAAATTGCATCATTTATGACATAGATGAGATAACCATGTATAAGCCAAAACACCAGTTTTCTACATATCAGTCCGCTCCGTCCTACTATTCCTGTGGCAAGCACGACCACTAAGAATAGAGGATATTTCGTAGGTTACTACTATTCGATCATAGTAGTGTTCTAAGTACTGCTCATATATGCTGTGACCATCCCGTGAGTAAAACAGTCTTAAAAAACGATACTAGTTAAGCATAGTATATCAGTTCATGGAGTATCGAATATTCATCAGAGCCTCCAGACAGATATATGGAACAAATCAGTGAAGTCACTAACAACTGGACTCAGCCGATTTGGTTGGTGTAGACTACCTGGTTGGGGTCCGCGAAACAATAATAACCGATGGTTAGAGACCTTGAACGACATGGCTCATAATCGTTTACAATGGCGCACGTGCATCCATTCTTTGCCTTCTTCTGAATTCCTCATCACCTTTATCTTTCTCTTTTTAAATTTACTTCACTGGGATATACCTCTGGAATCATACCTTCGAACTCTAATCTTTTCCATTATCGCTAATATTTCTACCTCATTTCCTACCATGGGATTTGAATTGACAATTACATTTCTGTGCTCGTGTTGTATGGCAACTTGAATTGATTTACGTACGTGCGAAGTTCTACTAACTCAATAAATTAACTTCTTTTTCTTGATCAAACTTTTCTGTTTTTCAAAATATCAGAATGGTTGACTTATTTTTTCTTTGCAACTTTTTAATCGAAGAATGACTTACGTGATATATCATATGGCAAATATGAAAGTCGTTGGAAAACTAACAGTTTGGTGCTAAGGTTTGTGATTGTCATGTTAAAAAGGATCGTTTAAATCGTTGAGTAATCGATTATTTTATCTGTAGCCATTCTTACTAGTTTATTGAACAGAACGTTGGAGCTATATAATCCCTATATATTTATTCTTAATTGGATTTCGAAACCTAAGTCGCGTGGTACTCTTTTCATTTTGATAGTTTAGATAAGTATGTATTTCTGTAAAACCCATTCATAAATGGAAACCCTATTTAAATTCTGTTATGTCTTACACAAATTTTTGGTGTATTTGAGGTTAAGTACTCACCAACGGAAGAATGGAAAGCTAAAAACTAGTCTGATATACTTATTGGATTTATTCTATTTTCAATAATTCTCAGGTGCATTCGTTTTGAATTAACTCAAACTCGATAACAACAAAAAAAAACACTTCCCATGATAAATTTTTTATAATAGAGAAACAATTCATCAAACATTTAAGCCATTTATATAAGTGAATTCAAGTCCTAGAAACGAAGAAAGTCAGTAAGTGTTGATGTTCGGAGATCTTCCGGTGTATCCCATATTGGGTGAATAGGTGGAGAAATGATGTTCAAAGGAGAAGCCGTATACTTTATATTGTCTTTTGGATGGACGTATTTTGTATCAGACTTTTGCGTGAGTGTGTGTTTCCTCTTGTTTTTAGTATAGTCACTCATTAAATAAGGGTTTTCATCTAACCAGCGATGTATTTTCTGGATATCAGGCCCAAATTCATATCCCTTTTTGCTTACCCGATCGAAGTTTATGTTATTACTTGTTACAGTATTTCGTTTCAAAACATCTTCATAGTTTTGTTTTTCGCCTATTGTCAGGTCATTTAGACATCTCCTGAAACTACAGGAACTTCGTGGGTAACGAGACTTTAGTGGATATTCATGATGGTTGTTTTTAAGAACTGTTGGTCTGTCGTGTATTTCTATTTGGCTAAATCCCTTGTCATTTATTGAACTAGATCTCGAATTTATTGAATTGTTTTCTTGTAACTTGTCAAATAATTCAACAGACAGGAAATCCAAACTCGTATTCTGTATTTTATCACTTGGGGATAGTGGAAATGATATGTTCAGTTTATCTTGTGTTAGAAATCTAGACTGCTCATCTCTGTATTGCTTTCCTGAATCTGATGAGTAAAATTCTGATTGATCGTCAACAACGTTCGTACTTAACGTTTGACCCTTGAAAGTTTAAGAGAAATAATGTTAGTGTACTATTTATTTGTTTGTCACTCAACGCGAAACTAGTAAATCGGTCTGTTGGATTTCCAGATAATACTTCAAAGAGTTTGTGGTGGATGTGGCTGCGTTACACTCAAATTTGGGCTCACCAATCCTGTGGTAGTTGGCATTCGATATAATTCCTAAACTTCGTATACTGCTTGTATTGATAATCATTACTAGATAACGCACAAGGGTGCATAAATCAGAAGACAGATAAAAAGCGCTGAAGACGTTTACTATCTCACACATAGATCACAGGCATACGAAGCGAGATTATATAAGAGCCCCGAAGAGCGAGCCACTGAAAGTACCAGCAAGCGAGCCCGACTTCGCATATTACGCAGCCACCTCCACGTAAATTGGTGAGCTTCGACTTAGAATACAACGCACCTACAAGGTTTCAAAACCACCTGATAGGTTGTCAGAACATTGCGTGTTTTGCTAAAAATATAATGGAAATTTCACAAAACCTTCCTGAGCTCACCATTATGATCAACTATTAATGGTAATTCTATACATCATACCCAATCGATAACGTGTGGTGGCCATACTGAAACATGGCACAAATCAGTGAAGTCACTAACAACTGGACTCAGCCGATTTGGTTGGTGTAGACTACCTGGTTGGGGTCCGCGAAACAATAATAACCGATGGTTAGAGACCTTGAACGACATGGCTCATAATCGTTTACAATGGCGCACGTGCATCCATTCTTTGCCTTCTTCTGAATTCCTCATCACCTTTATCTTTCTCTTTTTAAATTTACTTCACTGGGATATACCTCTGGAATCATACCTTCGAACTCTAATCTTTTCCATTATCGCTAATATTTCTACCTCATTTCCTACCATGGGATTTGAATTGACAATTACATTTCTGTGCTCGTGTTGTATGGCAACTTGAATTGATATACGTACTTGTGAAATCCTATGTTGTTTTTGACTGACTCAATTCAATATCGCAATCGGTACAGCAAATGTATATGAGTTAGATATTTATCTTATTTTCATGATTTTTGTGTTAATGTTTTTACGAAATCATATTAAGGAATTTTATTTATGGGCTTTATCTACTGATATATCTATCGAAATTCTTTTTTTTGATAAACTACTTATTTCAACTACAGCTGTTTAGATTAGTTTGTTTTGCACATTGAAATCATTATTCAATCATTGTTAGACCACCATTAGAAACCTGGAAGCACTGAGCGTCCGTTTCTTCTTGGTATAGGACTCATTTTTCGCTACCTTTTACGTATAAACCAAGATTTATTAAGGAATAAGAAAATTGTAGTTTTTAACATCTTGTGATGCCATATTAGCCTTTATTCACTTACTTTTTTACTTTACGCTATAATCTGCAAATAGTTTTTCTTATTAACTTAAAAATATTATCTATTCTCAAGGTATTCTGAAAACTATTCTTTTCCAACTACAATAAAAGAATGATTTCAACCATATAATCTGAAACATAAAACCCAGTTATTGTAATTGGAACCAAAGTTTATGGAAGCTTTTCCATAACAATGTTAGGTACTATATTTCTGATTTCAGTGGTTATTGTCTGTCTGTTTTAGGAAAATCTAGAACACAAAATGTCAGAATATGTTTTTAGTACTTAATATTTCGAAAAATACTAAGTACACGATTTTTCAAATTACGGATTTCAATTTAAGTGAATACCATCTCTTTTACGAACCTATTAGTTTATAACTGAGTGTTTTTGATTTATACTGCTTACGAAACCTAACTTCTGAAGAAAGAGAGGTTTGTTATCTGTAACATTAAAAATTTTTAGTTTACGGCTAAACACTCACCTGTAAGGGATTTTGATCAGATGATTCTTTCCTCAAACGTTTTTCCTGTGAGCGTTCATTTTTCCATGAACGCGTTAAATTTTGAGCTATTTGTTGATCTTTGAATGATTTTTTATTCATACTTTCATTATTGGCATTTTTGTACTCTTCTATCCATTGTTCTAAACCCAGTTTCGAGAAGATCTCTTCAAGGTTACCCGATATATTAGCTTTAGCTTTTTTAAGTGACTTATGTATGGCTTTAAATGTATTCGGTGAAGCGTTTCCATCCTCACAGTTAGTACGATAGGTAAAATTATCTGTTAATTTTGGAGGACGCTCCCGGAAACAATTCTGTACAGACTTCACCGACTTCTGCAACCACATAGGTATGTCCCGAAAATCAGGTGATTTACTTTTGCCTGTATTGAATGGAAAGTATTCTTCTGTTTGGCTTGACAATTTTTCACATTTTGAAATCTGATTGTGTCCTTGGACATCACCTTTAACGGTAATATTCTGTGGTTTTTTCCTTAAATGTAAGAGCATGCATAAACGTTCCGGTCGGTCAATTTAAAACTTTATATTTGAAAATTCTTTTGTCGATGACTGACTTACTCTTTCTCATCTATAGACAAAGTTATATTTTTGTCTAGTTATGGTTCAAAGAAATTTCACTTTTAACGTTGCTAAAAACATTACTTAATAACCTAAGTTATATTAATGAATAGACCACTTGTCCTGTCACATAGTTATTCGGAATTCTACGTTTGTTGGGGCAAACAAATTATGATCAACTCGTCTAGTGAGCTTTCTTCATGTTATTGGTCATGTTGAGTTTATTAGTGAATCAAGCAAGCTTTATTTTGTCTGAATATTGCTAACGTCTATTTTACAGTGACCCTGCTGAAAATTCATTACTGTTTTACTCAAATTTATCATTTACTCTCATATGCTATCATAATTAACCATTTTAGTTCCCTACTGAAAAATATTAAAATATAACGTTTTTTCGATCTGGTAAGATGAACACGCAATATATATTTTTGAACACGTATCAGGAATTTTCGGTTTCAAATAGGTCTTTATAATAGTATCATAAAGGCAATAATTATGCAAGATCATTTAAAAATGATCCTGTAGTGAATATTCGCCATAAAATATAGATAACAGTTTTTTTGAAAATTTGAATGTCCAAAATAGAGAATACATATGCTAGTGAATAAAAGGAGTTTCTTCCAAAAGACATCTTTTAGTTAAACCTCATATTTGTTTATTGCAGTTAACTATAATTTACAGGAGTACAATAACTGAAACATCGTCTCGTAAAACGTTATTACTTTGAATTTCGGAAATTCGATACGACAGAAATGTATGAAACATTCATATGCGATTCAGCCAGTTCATAAATTTTTACCTTGAAAATTATACAGTGTTCATGTTACCTGAGTAGTTATTATTTCGCGGGTGTCCATTTTAAACTCAAGTTAGAGAAGCTTAAAGTATATTTCACACAATAGAAATCCTTAATTTTAATAATAATTAAGTCGTAGAAAGCCAAGCCCTCGTAAGATGCTAAAGACCATGCAAAACAGTAAATATATATGAATATATACATGGCTTACCTCTTTATAAGTATTGAGCTTTTATATCCTATCGGTTTCACTGGCAAGGTGATTCGTGGTTCTTTTTTAGAGTATAAACTTATTTGGTTCCAATGTTTCTCGGTTTTTGTTGAAGAATCGACTGAATGAGTATTATTAAAAAGTTTTCAGGAAAAAATATTTCAGTGAACATATAGTAAGTTTCGGATGAACAGATGGATAAAAAACAGTGTCGATTAACTGACCAGACTCTTTAACATCATCTGACTTAGAAATAAAGTAGATGGTCCTGAAGTTAGTGTTTCAGTTAATTTTAAACCGTTTAAGAAGGATTTCATGATTCATTAGTTTGATTCTATAACATTTCACGCAACTTGATTGACCAAAACTATTCATTGTATACTACTTCAATATTTGATAAACAATCCCAAATTTTCCATGAAAACCGGATGGGTGTACGTTCAATATGACCACGAGACCTTACTTTCGCCCCACATCGTAACTACTTCATGAAGGTAGAAAACATGAAAACTAGTTTCAAAAATCTTGTAGACTCGGGCTTAGTAGTCTGTAACTCTCCACAATACTGATATACTGGAGTTATGTGACGATATGAGTTCATGATATAAGACTGAGAGATTTTAGACACTGTTGAGCGACTACTTTTTTCACCCAAACCCTTTACTATGTCTTTAGGATCACCACATTTATTTGAAATAGTGACACCAATTATGGTTAATCTGCAATTAAAATCGATTCTCAATGTGGTTTGCAGCGAATAAGATGTTATCGATACTTCTTTCTGGTTTGGCCTGAAATTTTCCGAAGTCGATTAGTTCGAAGGCAATTTCATCCATGAAATTATTATCGGAAGCAGGCTTGAGATGAAAGACTGAATACTTATACTTGGGTTTCCTGTAAATATTCGTTTTATGCCAGTCTGTAGCTGACATGGGTTTAAACCTTAATTTTATTTTCTTTCCTTATGTTGTGAATTTCCTATGCAAAAACGTAAGTGACAAAATTATGTTTCTTAAAAAGTAAACAAAAGTGCTTCTCAGTGCACGAGCTTAGTTGGTTTGAATATAATACTTGACTTTTGATTTTTCATCAATCAAGATGTCTTCTTATAGCTACCTGGATTTGTGTAGTACGATGTGGAATTTAATAGCCCTTCAAAGGTTTGCACCAGGTATAAGACATGATACTATCTAATTTGTTTCAGAGTAAAGCCGGTGAATACATGTGAACATATTAAATTAAAGTGTAAAGTTTAAATCAAGTAAGCAAATGAACAATAAATTAAATAGAAAATCATTTACAAAAATATAGAGGCCTACATTTTGGCTGGAGCAGCGAACGACCATATTTCCTAAATGTATGGTTCCTACTTCTGTGACTGCGTTGGTAGTAACTTTTAGCATTCCATCCAGTAGATGCAGACATCGTCAAACGCTTCTCGCATAAATATACATAATTTCGAATTGATAAAAACAAGCAAGAATTATTCAATGATTGGTCAGCATAAGACTATTTACTTCTCCTTAATGCATCTTAATAAGTACGGGTAAGAATTTCACAATACTAAGCAGTTTGACACTGTAAAGTGATACTAGATGTAAGTCAATTGTCAAACAGTAACACCTTCAACTTGACTTAAATATTTCTTAAATATTTCTCAGGCTGACAAATGATCTGAAGCATTCTTAAACATTTTAAATTGTATCCGCTTATAAAGCGTTTTGCGAATACTGTAGCAGGGATCCTAGACTTTAAATTATTAGGAGTGGAACCGAAAGCTAGTCAACAGATTGTAAGTTAAAAATTTAGGGACCACTGTTACTAGCTTGTATTCTAATTTAATTTATCAAATTTTTCGAGGACAGGCATAACTTTGTTTGACTACATATAGTCAAAAAGGTTGAAACAATAAAAGATATTCCTTAATGTTCTTGTATTTGGGGGATCAGGTAGCACTTAACACTAACGTAAAGCAGTGACGCTATTAAAATGACAACAAATCAATGTCTAGTAGTGAAATTTAGGATAAAAAATTATGTCGAATATCGTGCTTTTTAAGGATAAGTGAAAACTGATTTAATAAGAGTTTATTATTAGACAGCAAATGTCAGAAATGTTTGATTCGAATGATTAATAATGCATGTTGGTTAAAAAGAGCTCAGGACATAATAAATCTAACGTCTTAGGAGAAAACCATCAGTTTAGTGTGTTATTGGAGTCGCACAAGTGAATCACTTAAGGATCAAAATATCTTTCCCAGAAATAAAGGTCTGGAAAACGGAAAAAACGTAATAAATACCCGCAACAAGCTAATAGATGTTAGGACTTCACAATAAGCACCCCTCAAAGTAGTGTGTCGCATTAAGATATCTGTAACAGCACAGATGCTTTAGTTTCACATTGATTCATCGATGTGTGGGTATATGAAAACAAACTGTTTTTTTGAACTCGGTCCTTATATTTCGGTGAGGCTACAAGTAACCACAGAATAAATCTTGGGTCTGAACCGTGGATGAAAGGATTTGTAGGTTAGTACAGGCTTGCTAAGTGGACAGATTCATAGGATATCGTAGTTTACACTCAGTCTAACTGCAAAAGTCTCTGATCGAATTTAAACATGAGGCTTTTTAAGTACTTACACTTGGAAGTGACCTAAAACTATTAGCGTCAGCCACACACAGCTGTGGGAAAGTTTTACTCCTACCTACAGGCAAAACTTTACTTAATCAGTAATCATTTTGCCTAGATTTTTACCTTTGTCTCTTTATTTATGGGAATAATTTTCTTTCCTATGAAAACTTATAATGAACAGGAATCCAAAGCAGATGCTTGGAAACATGTTTCAAATTCTTTGTAAGAAAACTGAAATTTTAGAACACATTCAGTTTGACATCTTGAATGAATAGTGTGCTTATTGATCAATAGCATCACAAAGTATAAAAAACTGTAACTGATGTAAAACTTTTGGAAGATGCTAAACATCTTATAGAAATTTGAGTTATTTGCTAAGATCGGAATTGGACACTGTATACTACGTCCCATTAAATAACCAAGTTATTTGGCTATATATACCTTATGATATTTGAATTCAAATATAATATAGTATAACTAATGAAGTTCACATAAAATAAGACGGTGGTAGATGGTGTACAGTCTCCACGCGTTCACTTAATAATAAGATAAAATTACTTCATTTAAGAAGCTTCTTGATAAAAACTGGATGAAAAACACTTTCGTTTTTCAATCAGCAATGCTTATCAGTTTGTAAACGAACTAGCACAACTTTTGAAAACGACTACACATAATTTCTTCAAAAGTCCGCTTGGAAAATTTAAAACAATAAGCAATTCCAATATCCAATATCTTTTTCACGAGCTAGTAAAAACCAGTTTATTTCGTTCCACTCGATTCTTGTTCCTTCGATACTGTTCCAGGTGTTTAGTAGTGTCCAATGAATTGGGGTCTAGCCACTCGACTGTCTAATTCTAGTCAGTTGACAGTTAGTTGTGAGTCTGTATGTCTCGTGATTTGAAGAAAAACGTTTGTCTCAGAGCAGTAGGGTTTCTGGATACCAGCAGCTATCGCATTGCCGGACTGGAGATCAGTTAGTTGCAATGTGGAGAGTAATAAGGATAAGATTCTAACGCTATTAAGAATAAGATTTCAGAAGTAATATATAGATAATTAAGTTTATTAATTGAGGGTGTAGATCGTTTGCGTCATTTGGGGGCAGAATATGCATGACCTGGCACTTCAGTTGATTTAGTTTAAACCGCTTTCCACTACCCAGTAGATAAAGGGTCCTTTTGAAGCTCAGCCGAATCCTCTTCACTTCTAATGGACTTTCAGATCTCCGCAATGTCTGCGTAGATCAATGCCGGCGAGCTAACTGTGCCTAACAGGTCGTTAATAAATATCAGGAAGAGAAGTGGACCTAAGATGGTCCACTGTGAAACTCCCGACGTTGGAACTCGCCAACTCGCGTACACTCTGTTTACCTTGGTAAGAAACTTCCTACTCTCAAGGTAGTATCTGAGCCAATATACGAGTGGGTAAGCGAAGCCCATTTCCGCAACCTTCGCGATTGCCTTTTGAATGCTAATGAGAAAAGAAATCTGAAATTTTACACATCGTAGCCATCATATCCTTATCTGTGGTAAAAAGCGAAATGGCAGAGTCATCTAAGACGTAAACGTTCGATGAAGCATCGCTTCTGTTCACCATCAGAGTTCAGGGTTTATTGATATTGGGTTAATGATGTTTTCACTATTTCAATCTTTTTTCCTATGTTAACCATCTTGTTGAGCAAATATACATTTTAGACCAGCTGTTCAATTCTATATCGTGCGATCGTCTGAGTATGGTGAACTTTGAGAGTCTCAAGAGTTAGATATGTTATCATTGAATAATAAGGAGAACGATGATCCAAGGACTAGATCTCGTGGCACTCCACCTGTCACTGAAAAACAGTCTGAGTACAAGAACGTCCGACAGCTTGCAATCTCCCGTTTAGTCTATCCAACGACTAATTATTTCCATAAAATTCAGTTTCTGTGTCAGAATAAAATCACCAAACATTTCAAATATCTTGGCGAAGGCCAGTATACACCCGTCAGTTGCATTCCTGTGAGTTCATCCGGCTATTTCAATCAATCAACAGGTTAGTGTCATTGTATCTGCGAAATAAGAAGCCCTCTTGCAAACTAGAGGAAATAGATCTACTGAGAAGGTATATTTGGAAATCTAACAAAGGCTTAATTCTGAAATTATCAGTTGTATTATAACTTTGTTCGCTAATATGTTGAGCCCACATGGCTTGTTCCAGCTTTCGATTAGACTAATTAACCTCTGCCCGAGTTATTATTTGCATGCCTTCAACCTTGTCAGTTGTTCGCTCATAGCTTTGGTTGCTTTTATTTCAGTGTGTGCATGCTTACTTTGCTTACTATGTCTGGCTTATATGGTCTGATTTTAAATACTTGGTCATGCTATGTCACATTGAGTTGGCTAACTCACCTTCTCCACTTTGCATTCTCATAGTTGTCAGCTAAAATAAACGTTTGAAATAAATTCATCCGCTTATTACAGCCGTCGCATAAACGAGTTTCACCTGAGTAGAAACTGAATGGAAAATTTATTCTATACCATACTCCATCGTTAAACCAAACTGGAGTCAAATGGTGTTAATCCCTACTTTGAATTCAACGCAGCCACTAAAACCTCTTCATGAATGTCCGCCACTTTTTGATCTTGTTAGTTATATTCTTGTGAGCTTGCATTGTGTTTCTGTTATCTATACGCTATTCTGTTGTTTGTTATTTTTAAGTTACTTATTTTAATTGAGGAGTGATTCATGGATAATTCACTTAATTAACTCTTTCTACCATTCCTAACAGCATCCAATCATTATGTCTACCTCTCCAACTGAGCACTTGAAATCTATTTGGATATCATCATTCTAAATGCATTAGATTGATAGAGCTTATGTGAAATAAGTGCGATCTGTTGAAGCTGTGAAACTCAAAAGAATTCCAATCCGTTCGTTATATAATAACATATGATTACATTCCTTGAAGTTGTTCGAACGAGCGTGACAAGTTATTTCATCTGATTTCGTATACTATGTTCAGTCGTTTTTCAGTGCTTTGTAGTCTTTTCGAATTTCTTTCAATGAATTGATGACAAAGACGATAAAATCAGAAGCAGATCATAACGTGAGAAGATATATTTGAATAAAGGGGGAAAAATATAGTAGCATATAATGTCTAAGGTGGCTAGTTAATAGAGAAATGTATTGTACTAACTACCAAAACTTCATTTGTTAGGGATGCTTTGCCAACAGTTCCTAGATAATCTTGTTTCCACCAAGGCTTGAAAGGTCACAATAATGTATAAGACCTAGTTAGCTATTTTTTTGGAACACCAATAATCGCAGTGTTAATAACGGTAACCGTTCTATACTTTGTGAGACTTACTGAGCTATTAAAAAATATTCAGTCACTTACTTTAAGGCTTCGATAAATTTGATAACAATAATGGGATTATAAAATGAACAGAATTATCTGTGAGCAATACGACTGTTATGGATGAACGACACCTCGTCGGTTAATACTAGATAAATAAATTGTGTTTAAGTTCAGTGATTTGCAAAAGTTCATACCATCGCGATGTTGGATGCATAGCTGACCTTTAAAATTACGTTTTCCAGTCTGCTTTTTAAATTTTAGTATAGTCTCACTATCCTACCAAATTAAGACATCTCATTGAAATCGATATTTCTGAAACGTAAATGGTTTTGTAATAATTTCTTGAGGGTTGCGTTAGCCAACGGAACAAGTTTGCCTTGGGAAGCACAATTATTGAGTAGATTGTGTGCATCCTCTTCAATGAGTGTAAGGAAAGGGTTTCAATTTCACCTTTTGTAATATATTTTCTAGCCACATGCTATGTTTCAAATCTCCTCGTATAAACCTCAAAGATTTCTACACTTGAATGAATGAATAGTAATCCGAAAATTTTTCCACCAAAATTTATTTGCATTGAGTAGAAGCAGTGGTACTAACTACAATTTATGAATTGGTGACTCACAAATATGTCTGACAAGTACTCCAATAGTCACGGATGGACCTCCCCTCAGGTACAAAATAACATTCCAGACGTACGTGAAGGTATTATACTGTAAGTCAAACAAAGCTTGCGATGAGGTACCGAGCGATTATTAATCAGGACAAACCCCAACTCAAAGCCAAATGGGCAGCACTAAACAAAGCAGTTCCTCCCCTGATATTTCGTGATACTATCACTTCAGTACTGAAAATGGTAACAGAACAGTCAGTGGATGCGACACATTTCGAATCAGATTTCTGCTTTCTGTTTGATGAGCGATTCCTCTGGTAACTATGACAATAATGGATGGATACTGATACTGAGTTTAAAATTAAAAACTACGTTTTGAGAAATTATGTGGAAATATGCTGTTGTTGAAGTATTCTCACACTTTTTATATGAATTCTTCTAAAAATTTATGAAGCGCAGGTCTGCATACTCGAACTTGGTCTCAGAAATAACATTTCAGTCCTTTGCATATTGTATACCAACAGGTTATATCTAAATCAATAAATGCATTTTATGAACATAGTCACTAAAGATTACTGAAGATCATCGAAGTGAATTATTTTCCTAGAATATCCTTAAGTTGGTTAGTATTTCGATATAAGACTAACGTTTGTAGTCAACACATTTTCATTGTCATCTGAGTTTTTTTGATTCACTCACATAATTTGTCCTACTTGTTATGTTGTATTTGATAATATATACATCGCAATATTCAACTTATAATTATATTTACAATATACACTGTGCAAATTACTCCTGATTTGAGTAATTATGTCTAAGGTAGATAGATAAACTGATTTTAGACATCCTTGCAAATAATTTCTATCGACAACTGGGTAGTTGTAGTATCAGTATTTATACTTTAGTGTGACACATATTTGGTTCTCATTTTCATTGTTCGTAGCCGTAAAAAAGCTGAGCAATTAGGCAAACTAGTTTTTACTTCATAATTTTTGTATTTTAAGCTGGGATTTTTTTCTTTTCTACACAGTTATTATATCTTGAGATTTCAAGGTTCTCCGTGGGCTTATGATAATAACGCATCACGTAAGGATTGAGATTCTTCTATAAGACTCAAGCGAACAAGAAATCGAATAGGCCGGACGTCTGCCACAGAAAAACACTTCAACATTAATGACCCACAAGTTAATATGAGACAGAGAAGGGACTTAGATGACAGCTTCGTATTCGAAAGAGAAGTTAGAAATTAGAATGAAATAGCTCTGTTTATGTGTTAACATCCACTAACCTTGGGACACAACATGGATGAGCAAACCAAAGACAGACTTTGTAATTTGATAGTCGAACTCATCTGGGTAACATTACCAAACATGATTGACTGATAACTGCGTACAACTTTCTGTGCAGACAAATGATTAACACTGTCATTTGCCGAGATTTTATCTTACTTATTCGAATTTGTTAAGAAATAATTAACATGTTCTATGTACACTAAAAAATTTCGAGTTTTAATAAAATGGTCAGATGATGGGATTTATGTTTTAAATTCACTAATTAGTTTTATAATGACCATTAAAGAAACCAACAACTGATTCATTATTAAAAGATATTTCTTGTCAAACATTTGATCAAAAATAACAAACATTTTCTTCACTTATCATCTGATCACATTCAAGTTTAACTACTTACAAGTAAGCAAACATTATAGTAACAGTTTATTATTATGGAAGAAAATTTTC